TTTGACCTAGTTCAAAAGTCCTGCCGCTTTCTGATGTTCTACAAGCAGGGGTTTCAAACTCGATTTTATTGAGTGCCGCATCAGGGTTGTGTTTGACCTTAGGGAGCCGGATGGGCATGGCTGGGGTGGGAGCGGCCAGATTGATGTCACTCAGGTCAGGGGGCACATATGGTGGCCTGGGCAGGGCTGGGGGGGGATCCTCCTGTAGCCCTCTGCAGTGAAAACGGAGCCTGGGAGGGTCGCGCAGGGCCCTCCTGAGCTCCGTTTTCGCTGGCAGTAGCACCACAGGCCAGTCCTTCGCTATTTCAAAGGTGGGCCTGATCTAAGCTCTCTACTAAGGGCCTTGAGTTTGACATCCCTATTCTACAGCATGGGATTTAAGAGGAAAGAGGAAAGGAAAGGCTCATGGATTCCAAACTAGGCAGCCTCTTTCACAGAAGGTAGAAGGAAGGCGACAAAATTTGAAATTATTTACAAAAATAATGGAAGCATGAGCGTGAATGTCTTCTTTTAACCAGTGAAGAGTTGCTCTAAGGAACATGAAATTAATTTCCTACAATCTTAAAATGAAGTCAAACAATGTGTTTCCTTGGCTATATTCCCAGTATCTGGCATCTATCAAAACATCAAAAACTGTAGGTTTTTCAGGCATGGAGACTACTAGTTAAAGAACAATCATTGAACACTGCCAAGGGAAAAAAAAACCTACACCTGATATGAATCAATGAATGGTTGAGATTTATTTTTTGCATAAGGTTTCCCCACCCACCACTATCAAAGGTGCAAGGAAGAAGACTTGGAGTGCATGGAGTTGCTAACGAAGTTATATTACATGAATTTATTCCTTTTCCTTTATTCATCAGTTTAATAGAATAAAATAAAACAAGTATAAACTTTACCAATACAACAAGGAACTGCAGGATTTAATGTTTGCAGAAGCAAAGGGGGAAAGAAGTAATATACCAACCCTTATATGGAGTTACAATAGCACTCTGTGCTATCAAGGCCATCTCTTTCAAATCTGTTCTTAACTGATCTTCCTGCCAATCAGACCAGAGTTATTTTCTTACCAAGGAAGACCTGTGGGCAGCTTCTCATTGCAGAGATTATTCTGCAACTATTTGGGATCCCATGTCAGACAATGTCATATGTCTATATCTTGTAACCCATCCTTACATTAAGACACAAATTCTAATTCTAAGGCAAGCTTGTTTTCTTTCATCTATTCTAGAAAAAAGCCACCCTCCAAACAACAATGAAATTGAGTTTTAATGAATATTATAAAAGATTTCTAAATGTTTTGTTAATTCTGGCTTTGGATCATGCAATTTGAATCATACATCAAAACAAAGAAAAATTTTGAACAGCCCAAAAGGAAAAAAAAACATTTTCAACTCATATCGTAACCCCAATAAATTAACTAGGGTTTATTCCCATGGTATAGTGTTGCCTATTCTTACAAGCTATCCTGTTAAGTTCACTGAATTTTACTTGTGTGATATAGAGAAATCTGCACCCTTTCAAACTGCTTCTCTCTAGTCTGGCAAAATTCTAAAAGAAGGGCCATCGTATGAATAATAAGGTTTTCCCTTTTCTTAACTTTTTCCTCTTATTGCAGAACTTGGAATTTGGAATGGTGGCAGTTATTTTTTCTGATTCCGTCTCACCATTTCCAGGAAAATAAATTTAAGAGGTTTTGTTTGTAATAATCTTCTTACTTTCTTGAAAAAACTTTAACAGTTTTTCTTAATGGTTTCCAGATATACTAGCATATAACTCCAAAATATATGAAAGACCGTAACCTGGAGAGCCCAACTAAACCTCTCATAAATGAATGCAAAATTGGGATTTTAGAAACGGTAACACAGAATCAAAATTTAACAAAAATACATTTATAAAAAAAGCATAGTAGTGTAGCTGATACATAATAAAACTAGCCTCAGAATGATTTAACTTCCGTAGCTCTGCTATGGAATGAGTATGAGTGAGATAGAAAGGACCATTTTCATTTTTAATTAGACAATAGTTTTAATAAACTAAAGATTTATTTATGGAATGTCCTTTTATTCAAATGTTATATATGTTAATGTGTGTATGTATCTGAGAGCGGGAAAGAGAACATTAAAGATGGTTTTCATTTTAACCATGATTATTAACTCTGCATTCACATTTATTTCCTTCCAAATCTCTATAAATTAAATCAAAGGGCCAAATTATCAATTAACTAAAGATTGTACAATCTATGGACAGTATGCAAAAATATACTGTATACTTATTAGTCCACTCTAGCAGTTGTTCAACCCTGGGACAAACACTGAAACTCTGGCTTTTCTCAGTTGCCAAGGATACAGATCATCTCCTGCTTATTAACCTCGTGAGAAAACAATGACTTCTTTAATCATTTTGGTCTTTAAAAACATTTCCTCTTTGAAACCTAACCAGGTCTTGCCAAGTTTGAACAGCCCCACCCCTTTTAAATAAGCTCTGCCCACTTTGCATGGATGTGTTATTAAAGGAAAATCCAAAAGATAATGGAATATCAAATCTGAGCAAGAACAAAACAACAATCTCAAACAGAATCATCAAGTTCTGCTAAGTAAATTAATTTGTTCATGTATGATTGGGTTTTATTTATGCTTCAGCAAAAATAATCAATATTGGAGACTATAGCCTGACAAAAGTTCTACTATATTATGACTACTCTAAAAGGATGGTAAGGACATTTCCACAATGTTTACTTCAAGCACCTGAATATAAAAGGGAATTTAGAAGGAAATTGCTATTTTAAATTAAGAATCCTAAAATATGCAACATCCAAATATCTTTCAAATGAAATATTTCAAATTACATTTATTTCTTAAATATTAATCTGGGTTCAATTCATGGTTCGTTTTAATTAGTTCTGTGGGTCTGTTGTGACCATGATGCATACTACTGTAAATTTCTGCTCATGTGAGACTCTTGATTCTTATTATTCACATGACTGATTATCAATATGTCGTCATTACAGGGGTTGTGTGACCTCCACTTTTACTCTGCAGGTGATCTGCCAAATCAATGTCTGAGTGCAGCAATGGATTGGATGAGGGCCAATAAACAATTGTAGTTTAAATAGTATTCAATCTTTTTTTTCCCCTAGAGAAGAATTGAAAAACATGTGATACTCCAAAACAGTATTCTCTACAAAAGGGGGTTTATTCAAAACAATCTATAGGGATGGATGCATGGATAGATAAGATGGATAGGTAGGCAGGCATATAAAAGATAGACAGGCAGACCTATAAAACACATATTTAACTTTTATATATACTGTTTTATATTTTAGCACTTTATTTATACTGCCCAGAGTCCATCCTAGTGGAGGTTTATTTATTTGACTGATGAGTACCAATCCAAAAAATTTGACAGCTCCTGCTTCACATTCCAATGTAAGTAGTCTTTGACTTATAGACACAATTGAGCCCAAAATTTCCATTGCTAAGCAGACATTTGTTAAGTGAGTTTTGATCCATTTTATGACCTTCCTTGCCACCATTTTGTTAAGTGAATCTGGCTTTCCCACGCATTTTGCTGGTCAGAAAGTTGCAAAAGGGGATTATATGGCCCCAGGACCCTGCAGCCATCATAAACATGAACCACTTGCAAGCATCTGAATTTTGATTATGTGGCCAATGCTGCAATGGCCGTAAGTGTGAAAAACAGTCATAAGCCACTTTGCAATGTTGTAACTTTGAACTGTCTCTAAACGAATATACTTGCAACGTGAAATAATGAAAGATGCAAACTCCTGGAGAATCTCAAGTTGCCACATGCTTGCAGTACTCTGCCCTAAAAGAATCAGCGATTACACGGATTCTGTAATTATCACTGCGATGAAGCCATCCAGACATCTAGTTGCTCATGTTGCCTTATAGGAAAAGGAAATGTAAAGCTGCAAAGATAACATTATAGTATAGGAACAGGGAATGTAGGAAGCTTCCACACCGGAAAACTCAAGAGAGTGAAAGATGAAATGGAACAACTACAAATTGACATCTGCAGCATCAGAGAACTGAGATGGTTTGAGATGGGACTATTTCAGTCAAAAGATCCCATCTTTTATTACATGGAAAAACAAAGAAGAATAGTGTTGCTTTGATCATTAGGAAAGATATAGCAACCTTTAATGTTTGGCTACAATGCAATCAATGATTAAATAATATTGATTAGACTTCATGGACAACCGGTTAATATGATAATCGTTCATGTATATCCCAAAGGTGCATTCCCCCACTCCCAGAGGCAACTGGACTTTCTTGGTTTTCTTTGAAGACGTTTCGCTCCTCATACAAGAACTTCTTCAGCTCTGAGTGGATGGTGGGGAATGGAATCCAGTCAGAGCTGAAGAAGCTTCTTGAATGAGAAGCAAAACATCTTCAAAGAAAAACAAGAACATCTGGTTGCCTCTTGAAAAAAAAAAAAAAAGCACCTTTGGGACAACTATGACCTGGATGAAAATCTCCATGGACATTCATGTTTATGATCCAACCACCGATGCAAAAGAAGAGGAAGTGGATGAGTTTCATTTCCAAGTCCAATTTGGAATCAACAAAATATTCAAATAATATGTACGCCGCTTGTGATTGGAGACTAGATGGCAAAAAAAAGAAAATGTATTGGATTATATGGTTTAGGAAACCAAAATGAAGCAGGGGATCAACTTATTAGGTTCGACCACTCCAATTATTTCTTCATAGCTAACACTCTTCAAACCACCAAAATAGCATTTCTATACATAGATATTACCAGATATAGAATATATATATAATATATAGTATATAGAAATCAAGTTGACTATTTTATTGTTGAAAGCAGCTCAACTGTGCCATTAAAGACATGGCCAATTGCTGACTTTGGAATAGATCATGAACTGCTTGTGTGCAAATTCCAAATGAACCTAAAGGAAAAAAAAAGAAAGCTAATCAGTTTCTACAATATGATATACTTGAACATATACTCACCATTTTCAAGAACATCAGAAATCACTTTGAAATCTTGATCTTCACTGATAGAGAACCATAGGAATTATGGAATGAAGTTCAAATAAGTTATTAAGGACGAATGTCAAACGAGACGGCCAAAACGTAGAAAGAGAAGAAAGCAAACTGGATGTTAGAACAAACTCTGGAAATTGCCAAGTAGAGAAGCCAAAGCCAAGATCAACAAAAAGCCTCAGAAAAGAGCTTAACAAAGATTTTCAGAGAGTTGTTAGAAGACACAAGACACTAGAGATGGAAAAAAGTCTTTGAAAAGATTTCTGAACTCAGAGGAAAGTCCTAATCTCAAATTGGTAGTGCTAAAGAAGTCAATGGACAGCCAGAAACCAAAGGAGATCAAAGGAAGTTGGAAGGGGTATACTGAAACACTATATAGAAGAATATTTCAGCATCTGAAATACCTTATAAAATATTCCTTCTTTACAAAAACATCTACTACTAGATGTTAGATCAGTGCTCTGGCCATTATCAAGTCAAAACGTGATAATAGAGAAACTTATGGAATCCCACTGAAATATAGCAAGCAACAGAAGAAGAATCAGTGATAGTTCTAACCAAGTCATGCCAGCAAAACTAGAGAATAACACCATGGCCAACAAATTGGAAGAAGTCAATCTACATTCCAATACCAAGATAAAGAGACTTAACAGAGCACGTAAACTCATGCAACATTCTTAACTTCACATGCTAGCAAACGAATGCTTGGGATCATTCAGCACAGATTAGAGCCCTACCTGGAAAAAGAAGTACCAGTTGGTCAAGCTAGCTTTAGAAACGGCCAAAGAATATGAAACATTACTGATGCAATCTGGATAATTGAGAAAGCCAAAGAATAATAAAGAAAACTCATCAATTATGGAAAAAGCTTGGATTATATTGATTACATCAAGCTATAGAAAGTGCTCAGAAAAGTGGAAATCCCAGAACTTCTCATTATCCTCATGTTCTATACAGATCAGGAAGCTACAGTATAGATGGAAGATGGTGAAATATGCTGGCTCTAGATTGGCAAAGGAGTGTGACAAGATTGCATATTCTCTCCTTGTTTATTCAACCTATTTGAAGAATCTACATTAAGGGAAGCTGGATAGGAAGAAGATAAGCGTGATTTTAAAATAGGAGAAAGAAACATCAGTAACCTGAAATATGCTGATAACACTACCCTGATAACTGAAAATGCAAAGTATCTGTAAGCTCTAGTACTAAAAGTCAATGAGTATTGTGGGAAAAACTGGACTAAAATATAAAGGAGAGCAAGCTAATAACAACGGGCAAAACCACCCTCAGAATTGAGACTAAAGATACTGAGGTGATGGAAGCTTCTTTTAGGATCAACGATCAACAATAAAGGAACAAATAAACAAGCATTTGGTAAACATGAAGAAAACGTTTTCAAATCCTGTGATCTGTCTATACCTACAGAGATTAGAATCTTGCAAGCCATATATTTCCTATGACACTCCATAGAAATGCAAGCTGGATTTTGACAAAGCAGGATAGGAAGAGGTATTGACATTTTTGAACTTTGGTATTGGAAAAAGACTCCTGAGAATATTATGGACAGCCAAGAAAACAAATCAATGGCTCATTGAACAAATCAATCCAAGTTCTCACTGGAGGCACAATTAACCATGTTCAAATTACTCTACTTCAGACACATTATGTGAAGCCTGGAAAAGGATCTGATGCTGGGAAAGGTAGAAGGAAAGAAAAGGATAACCAGAGGTGGATGGACTCAGATAGTGATGAGTGCACCATCATTCATGCGACCTGAAAGAACAGGTTAGGGATAGATCATTATGGAGAAAATCTATCTATATGGTTGCTAGGAGTCAAAAACTACTTAATGGCACATAATCAATAAATGTGTTGCAATCACTTCAGTTTTCCAGAAAGTGGCTGGGAGTGAGCACCATAAAAACATTTTACGAAGATGTGGATTCAAAGCACTCTTGCCCACTTTAGATCTAAACCAAACTAATAGCAACCTATTGATGTTTTCATCTCCCTTTGTAGCTTCTGGATTGTTTCCTATTGCTGAATTTAGCCTGTAGAGACAGCCTGAGTCAATATTATTTGAAAATTTACTTTTTTTACCATTTAAGATATGCTAAGAAATGTTGACTTCGGACTGCTCTCCTCAAGGAGACTTGCCTAACACCTCTTTTGCAGTAACTTTGAAGTCATTTTGGGGGGTTGCAAAAACATAAAAGCACCAGAAAGCAGCAAAGAACTATAACTTGCCAAATTCTTGCTGTTAACTAGTGGTCACTCAGATCTTTGCAGTCTAGATAACCCTGCACTTCTTTTCCCTAAATCCATACTTTCATCTCAACCTGCTTTTATGTTCCAATCACCCCCATCTTACCACCTCCCTAAATCATATCTTCACTTTATTTGATCTGTTAATATTTATTAATATATTAATAAATGTATATTTTACATACATACATACATATTTTTTCTTAGGTTTTCACAGGTACTTACATGTATGGTATTCAGCTTTGTTCGGGTATTTTCCCACATCATTGTAGTTGTGCTTTTAAAGTTGTAGCAATGTTTCGGCAGAATCTCATCTGCCATCATCAGGCTTCTGTATTGTATCAGTCTGTGACAGACAAACACAATACAGAAGCCTGATGATGGCAGATGAGATTCTGCCGAAACATTGCTACAACTTTAAAAGCACAACTACAATGATGTGGGAAAATACCTGAACAAAGCTGAATGCCATACATGTAAGTACCCGCGAAAACTTAAGAAAATATCTATCTATCTATCTATCTATCTATCTATCTATCTATCTATCTATCTATCTCACACACAGAGTGGAAGACTGATAATGGTCTTTTTAAAAGACACAGAAAACCCAAACTCTTTGCTGCCATCTCGTGACCATCCCAATTTCTGCAGCCTCAGCAATATGCTAATTTTACTTCCCCTGTCTTGCATTTTTACCCTCCAATTATTTTTTACTGCTGTTTTAAATTAATTACTGACTTCCAATTGTTTTAATATTATGACCTATCTAAGACCTTATTTCATGGCACACTTATATTACAATACTGTAAACCAATAAATTAATGAGCTTGAAACAAAAATGACGGAAAGTAAAACCTAAGTAGTTTTATTTATTTTTAAGGACCTTTTTAAAAAAATAAAAAATAAAGAACATAATTGGGTCTTCTAAAAATCTTTGAAGTTTTCATGGGATTATAATGTTTAAGATTGGGAGGGATCTTGCAAGGAAATCCCATGCCTTCAATATTATGTTCAGTTTCATGCAACTTTGGTAAAAAAAAGTTTCTAAAAAAATACAGATGAACAGATATGGGAAGACACAGATGCCATTCAGTCTAAGTTCAGCTGCAGGTAGGGAAAAAGCAAGATGGTTAGCTTTGTGCCACTGACTACCCTAATAACCATTTTGTCATGATGTGTAGTTTTAGACCTCCCTTTTTAAATCAACAAGATATTTCAGTTTCTAATAGCAGAACAGAATACACATGTGAGAAACCAACACATACGCAAAATCTGATGCTGTGATATTTCCAAAGTCACTTAGTAGCTACCTAGCTAGCGAGCTCTCAGAAGAAATTAAGTTCACCTATTCAAGAATAGGTCAATACAGGTCAAGGTCTGCCAGAGAATCTCACAGCAGAATAGATGCCACATCGTTGCCACAAAAGATTTAATTAGATCTAGGCCAAATCGCTCAGAATATAATTTTCTCAGAAATAGCTTTTTCAGCCTGTTCAGAGATTTTTGCCTACAGCCTTCTCTCCCCTTTGTAGGTAACTCGATTTTAGCACCAACTTGCTAGGTTTATCATTAAGAAAGTGTTAGACCATTCTTGGACTTTTACAGGCCTTTGCAATTGTGTTGCAAACAATGGCCATCCTTAAAAATACTGAAGTGAAAAGAAACTGTAAGAAAGCTGGTTTAATAAGATGAAAGTTGAGCTGAAATCCAAAGTTTTTACAACAAAACAGTTCTCTCCTACACATGGGGGTGGGGGGAGTATTTGCAATTTTAAGTTCCCTTTCATTCGTTTTTTTTTATTCTAGGAATATGCTGGAGTGTGGCTCAGTGGGTTGTTAATATCCACGACTTTTTTAACAGCTTGGTTCTTTTATTACCTTATTGCTTGTCTAAATAAGATTCCCCAGACACAAAGTTTTCTTCAGCAAGGCGGTTTGCAATGGAACCACTTTTCCCAAACGGGTGTCCTCTACTTATACAATTCCCATGATTACTATTCCCGGCCAACACTACCAACTGCTGAACAACATCAGACTATGCCAGACTGTTCTTAAATAACCAAAAAAGATATGTAATGATTAATTTTGCAGGCCACATTTGGCCACTTCCATTGACATTTATTATGATCCATAAACTCTTAATCAGAACTGGCAGAAAAGTCGCATTACGTGTGCTGATATGTGATAAAAACCTGGAATTTCAAGGGAATGGCCTGACTTGGATAGGTTACCTTTGCATATATACATGATGCTCTTGATTTTCCTAGACATCCTAAAAACGGTGTATTTCTACAGAAGTGATATTCATGGGGAAAGTCCCAACTGTATTTTATCCCAATCCAAATGATCATTCAGGTCAAAGTATGGAAGGCATGTGACCATGAAGAAAAGAGATTTTAAAACATATTTAGCAGAATTAATGATTAGCTAACTTTTATGTTTATTTTCAGAAAGGAGAAGATAATAAATACAAATCTGCACCAGAGCATTTCATTGATTTGTAAATATATATTTATACTACATACTTGCATGCATGCATACATACATACACACATATGCAATACAACTTCCAAGAAGCTACATTAGAATAAACGTTATACTTAAGCAAGTTTAAACAAAATTAAAACGAATGTATTAGTAACTGGCTGTGATTTATAATTTTTTATTAAAAATAATATTGTCACTGTATTATTTAAGTATGTACATATATGTTCCTTTATTGAGAAAAAACAAAAATTTCAACCTATTTTTCAAAAGTAGTCTTGCAAAGGAGCATCTTATAGACTAAAGATTATCTCTATAATCTCTGAAAAGTCATCCAAATTTTAATTTTTATATTTTACATCTAGATATCTAACCTTAGTATATTCAGAATTTTCTTGACACATTTTGATTGCCATACCCATATCCAAGCCTGGACCTATCAGAAAGAGCCAAATCATGATTAAAAGAGGCAACAGAAGCTGGGCAAGATTTCTTCCCAAAATTATTTATTTTATCAAGGCAATTTTCCCCCTGTCCTTCCAATCCTTTCATATCACCTTTCCAACACCCTCTCATAGGTAATTAGATATCTCGTCTGCTAAGCGATCACGTGTTGTGCATACTTCAATGTCATCTAAGTTATCTGAACTGTTTCTCCCAGCAGGTCATTATGGTAGAAGACTGATAATTTTCAAAAAGAATGACTGAACTTTCTTTTTTTTCCTCCTCCTCCTTTCCTTTTTCTTTATGTGGGATTCCTTATAGACAGTAATTCAGAGGGCAAAGGATGTCTCATTACTGAGATTTATAAACTGCTAATGTAAACTCACTTTAGATTCCTCCTGGTGATTTCACGACATATCGAGATAGCTTTCTTGGCAACAATTAGGAAGAGGGTTGTTGTTGCCTTCTTCCAGAATGTTTTTCCCCCCCAATTCCCCAGAAAAGCCTGCTGCCTTGGACTTCCTGTGGTCTGAGCACTCACCAGATACTTACTCATCAAGATCTGCAAAGATTGGTTAGATGCTTCCTCTAGCCTGGCTTATAAACATTTCAGAAAAAATATTTTGGTTATAGAGCAAAACAAAAAGGTGGGAGAAAAATGGCCTTCTACATGTAATACAATACAGGTAAGTCCTTGACTTATGACCACAACTGAGTCCAAAATTTCCACTGTAAAGCAAGACAGTTGTGTTAAGTGAGTTTTGCCCCATTTTGCAACCTTTTTTGCCACAATTGTTAAGTGAATCTGGATTCCCCATTAATTCTGCTTGTCAAAGGGTCGCAAAAGGTGATCCCGGAGCACGCCAACCATCATAAATATATGCCAGATGCTAAGCATCTAAATGTTGATCATGTGACCATGGGGGATGCTGCAATGGTCATGTGAAAAGTGGTCATAAGTCACTCTTTTCAATGCCATTGTTACTTCAAACCATCACTAAACCAATGTTGTTAAGTCGAGGTCTACCTATATTTATTTCGGTCAATAACAAGATAAAAGAAAACATAAATTTCAGTCGAAAAAAGGGAGAAAAACAAAGTATCCACATGGCCGTAAGACAAATCAATCAGATATGAAGATGTCAGTCCTGTACATCAGTCAGTCAATTTTTTTGTGCACATTCACAACACTATACAGAATTTTACTAAGTTATGGCGGGGTAGCAGTTTTCTTATCTGCTAAGAGAACATTAACAAGATGTTTTTTGGAAGAATTTGGTGCATGTAGCTTGAGAAGAAAGATGAATCTTCTTTAAATACAACCATAAAAGGAGCAGCACTACAGCATGTAGAGAATAGATTCAACTGAACCATTACCACAAGGGCAGGTTCATTTAATCATGGGGGTTTTATTGAATCTACTGTATAAAAGCACTAAGGGTAGACTATTATATCTGTCTCTGAAGAAGAACCTTTGTTGGACTGGAGAGATGAATGAGTTGATATAGTTGGCTGGTTTCTACCTAACAATGATTAAGCTGAGTTTTGGACCAAATTTGGGATGAGTCCTTTTTCATTCTGTCCTTCAATCTTTAAAAGCCTTTTTCTAATAACTCTCCTAGCCTGAGTGAAGTCAAGCAAATGTAGAAAGTCAAGGTAGAGGAGCCACTATGTATTGTAGTTAAAATATTTCTGTTTTTAATGTCCCAGAAGTAGGTTGGCTTTAGTTCTTGGATTCTTTGCTAAGACCAGCCTGCAAAAAGTTAAAAAGAGTAGGAGGGGCAAGCTTTTGGTCTCATTTTCCTAGTGCTTTGCTTTATCGATTTTGACAAAAATCTAGAAATGGGATTCTAGAAATGGGATTCGGAATAATTTTGTCACAGCAAATATGACAAAGAAAGCTCCTCAGGTTATCTCTTTATAACTTAACTGAATGACTAACTTAACTGAACGTCTGTGTCAATCTGTCAATCTGCTTACTTGCAGCCTTATTTGGATTTGGGGAGCATTCCTATTTACAATAACTAAAATTTTATAGAAAAAAAATGCCTCATCCAACATTTTAAATATATATATATAGTATGTAATCAGGGAAAAAAACTGCTGAAGTCATCCAATTTTTAAAACATTTGTGCAGTTAAAACATGTTGGTTCGCTATCTGT